ACGTTCTCATTATCATCAGCTGATTATCACTGTAATCACCATGTCAGAAACACACGACTTCGTCGAGGAATATAGTAGCATGGCTGCCATCGTCTCTGAGCTTTGTGGGGGAGGAGGGGAGGGGCATCATGGATTCTGTAAAACTTTGTCGTGAGGCAATGCAAGGAAAATGAGCGAGAGCGATAGACAGAAAACCAGAATGCAAAATCATGAAGCAGTCCAGATAGTCATGTAGCAAGCAGAGAGCTCAAATGCACCAAGAAAAACCATCCAAATAAGACCAATGCAATGAACTCAAGTGCCAATGCCGACGCTCTCTGGTCACACCAACACTGTATCTAATGTCACTCCTACTGTCTGGCACCCAGCGCCCAACCTACACTACTCGGCCTACCTATCCTACTCTATGTTCATGCGACTGGATCACATCGAAGTCGAAGACCAATGTACGTGACGTCGACACCAATGCCGACCACCAGCATACACCAGGTACGTTCTCTCTCCTCCCCTCATCACCCCTTGGTTCCCCTCTGCATGCGCCTCCTACCCGAAGACTGCGCCTGCTGCCGCAGCAGCGCCCCTCTCACCACTGCGCCCATGAGCGCGTCCGACTAGCAGCACCCATGCAGACACTAGCACAGCAGCGCAGCGTGTCCGCATTGCCTGCCAAGGCCAGAATGCCTGCACCAGGGCCTCACACTAGGACGACTCATCTTCGTCTTCCTTGCGGCCAGGTGACGCCGATGACAAGCAATGAGGGCGAATATGACCAGGAACACGAGAATGGCGAGCAGCAGCAAAACGAGGGGCCACACCAAGCAATAAACAAAGACTGCCCCCTTTGAAACGGTTTTCATCTTTTGCAGTCACAGATGCAGATCCCAGGGCTCGATCCCCAGACCTGACCTTACCTTACCTGTGTACAGTATCAAGTCGACCCTGTGTGTTTGAACCCGTGACCTGTGTGTCAGTAGTTGAAAGTTGTCTGTCGTAGGTCTGAGTAGTTGTCGGGTCTTGAACCTTAGACCTGTCGAAGTAGGGTTCATATCTGCATAGGGGTCATAGTTGTTGTAGTTCTGACAGGTCAAGGTCGTAGCTGCTACAGTCCTGAAAGGTCAAGGTCGTAGCTGCCACAGTCGGAAGGTCCGGAAGTGGCCTTTCAAGTTTTTTCGCACGTTATACACAGCAGAGCAGAGGCAAGTGGGCAAGTGGTGAGTCCAACTTCGCTTAGTCAGCGGTACCCAGCCCCAGTCTCACTTTGTACAGTCAGCAAGTACCATGAGGGACTGTGTGCACCATGGGCCCGGTGGAAAAGGGCAGACCAGCGACTTACAGAAGTATAAATCAAGAGGCAGTGTCCAGCCATTCATGCATTCCTGCGTAAGCCATGCGGAAGCGCTGTCTGAGCAGCTTGTGCGAGGTGGTCTGCAGATGCCCGAGGTCAAAGTGGGCAGTGAGGAAGATAGAGCGCCATAGTCAGTGGTGGTGAGCCGCCATAGCTGCCGTAGCGTAGAGTTGGTTGTTAGCGAGTCAGAGTGTGGGTGTGCTACAGAGAGTGTGTGCGTGGGGTATTCAGGGAGATCCAGAGTCGAGTGTGAGTGTGTGTGTGAACAGTGACCGAGAATACTAAGTTGGGGAAGGAAGTTGGGCGATCAATCGCCATAGCTGGTTGAAATGAGTTCGTATCCGAACTGTGTTCTCGCTTTGAATATCTCTGATCTTTGTGTGGGCGCACAGCACCAGTGTGGATTGCCATCTGTTTGCATGTATGCAAAGTAAGAAGAAGCGCGCCATCGAAGGAGGAAGGTCCGCCATAGCTGTGCCGTCGAAGAAAGGTGCCGCGAACCTGCAAAGAAGACAACGACGAAGAGAGAGAGAGAGAGAGAGAGAGAGAGAGAGAGAGAGAGAGAGAGAGAGAGAGAGAGAGAGAGAGAGAAGCGATACAACATTGTTGTGCGGCCCAAGGAAGAAGGTGGCAGCCATAGCCGCGCTCGGACACGGAGGTAGAAGAACGAAGACGAGTAAAGGAGGGAGAGACAAAGGATGAGAGAGAAGTCATAGCCGAGGAAGGAGAAGGGAGAGACGAAGAAGGGAAAAGAAAGACATAGCCGGGGTGAAGGAGAACGTGAGAAAGAAGGAAGGAGGGAGAAGGCGAAGTGAAGGTTGAAGGGAGACAAGGGGTCGACAGCCATAGCCGAGTTGACCGGGGTTGACCGAAGCGTTGACCAAGGAGTTGACCAGAGTTGACCAGAGTTGACCAAGGTGTTGATCGGGAGTTGACCGGGAGCTGACTGAGAGCTGACCGGGAGTTGACCAGAGGTTGACCGAGGTGCTGACTGGGAGGTTGACCAGCGTTGACCAAGGCGTTGACCGGAGCTGTTGACCACAAAATTGACCAAGCTGGAGTTGGTATATTCTCGCCAGGCCTTCAGCCTATCCCCTCGCCCTATGGATGTGCACTCACCCCATGGTACTAGTTGAGTCTGTCTGTCTCTTCTTTCTGCATCGAGTCGCTTTTGTCCAGGTGATAGGAACTCTGTGTATGAGGTCGTAAAGCTTTGTTGACCAAACCCACACGGGCTGAGTAGGGCTAAAGGTTGTGTCTGACGACTGACTGACCCGGAGGACAAACCCTCCCAAGGACCAGTACAGACCGGCGGGCTGCTCAATGTGGCATGGTAGGCCCAGAATCCGAGTTGTGGGCTGCACAACAAGCTGTCTAAGTCTTGAGAGGACTTGCTGATCGTGTCGTCTTGTCTGCGACGTTAAATAATTCCTGAGGAGTTACGGGGGATCTCTTTAAATGCCTCCTGATTAGCATTGAAGTCCTGTAGTGACAGCCTTAGCATTAGGTCCAGGCTAGAGACCATAGCTGGCAGGGTCTTATACGGATCATGTAGTCCTTAGACAGTTAGTCAGTCAGTCAAGTGGGTAGGTCTAAGTGGTGAGAAGTGGGACAGTCACTGTCGTGCACCCAACACCATGGAATGTACGGCTTGCTCGTGGGGTTCTCCCTCTGGGGGACCCTCTGGCGACTTATTTTTCCGCTAGGCTTTTGGAATGCCTTCACGTGTAGAGTTGACATGAGGGGTGGTGCTAGTACAACTCCCTACACGAAGGAGCAAGAGGAAGAGGCCGCCAGGATACTGGCCGAGCAGAAGGCCAAGAAAGAGAAGGAGGTTGTAAAGCAGGCCAAAAAGTTGGCCTTATTGCAGGAGCAGGCCGCGAAAAGGAAGAAGTTGGAGGAGTTAGAAAGGGTGAAGAAGGAGGAGGAAGAAAAGTTGAAGGCAGTGGAGGCGGAAGAAAAAGAAGAGAAAGGCATAAGAGGAAGTTCCCCTGATCAGAAAGATCATAAGAGACAGAGGAGAGTCCAGTGGCACGAAGAAGGAGGAGGACCCATGGTTGGAAAAGAAGGTGTCTAAGTGGGTCGCTAATCTATCCCTGGGAGAGGACGAGGAGGCAATGATGTATGTACCAAGGGCAGAACAGGAGGCGGTAGTAAAAAAGTGGGAAGCAGAAGAAGACCCCTTAAAACGCCAGAATATAGAAGAAGAGAAGAAGTCGGAGTGGAAGTTGCGCTTGACCAAGGAGAAGAAGAAGAGGATGGAGGAGGCAAGTAAGGTTGCGAAAGAGTTGGAGGTGGTGAAGCAGCAAAGAGCGCAGATGGAAGCACAAACAGACCCGCAGGGAAAGATGGATGTGATGGCCAGAACATAGAACGCCTAGCTAGGGCCCAAGAAGAGCAATATCAGTTTGCATGGGGGCAAGATGTAGCTCTGCGGTCCATACGCGTAGGGTTCAGGGAGTTTGCACGAGAAATGATGATGCACGTGGGCACAGAAGTAAAGTCCAGGATGGAGAGCACAGAGCGATTCTGCACTGGTGCCATAGCGGGCGCCAAGTTAGTAGCTCCAAGGGAAGAAGAGGTGTGTCCCCATAGGGACCCAATCAAAGTCAAGTTCCTCGATTCCTACAGTGGGAAGAAGGGAGAGAACTTTAACAACTGGGAGGTGAACATTAACTCTTATGTTCACCTCCATAAGATCGTACCTGAGGAGCAAGTTCTCATCGCCTTCCACGCTCTCAAAGACGAAGCAGCAGGCTTCGCCAAATCGCTTGCCCGCACTGCTAAATGCGATAACGATATGGTAGCGTACTCCACGATCACCCCCCTGAACGAATTCTTTAAGCTGCTGCGCGAGAGATTTGTTGATGTCACTAGGGAGATTAGAGCCTCTGACAAGCTCCAGACTATCCACTCACGCCAGTGGAAGAGTGCCAGGGCACTCAAGGGAGTAATGGATGAGTTGGTAGCTGTCCCTGACCATGGGGTCACTGAGACCCAACTGGT